GGCCATGTGACAGCGCGTCCGAATTCTGCCAGATCTGTACACCTGAATCAGGAGGATGATTACTAAAAAGGAAAGAATTACTAAAGAAAGCTTAGTGATAATAGCTTTATTCGAGCTTTTAAATCAGGTACTTTAATAATTTCTAATGTCATAAATATACTTATTCTTCTTTTTTATGATAATATAATTTGAAGAATTTGCAATATCACAAGTCCATAATCAAACATTTAAAATTTGATTGCTTTGAAAAATGGTTTAATTTAAGTATTAAACGTTTTAATTTCAGGCAATATTTGAAATTGGAATGCTTAACATTTAACTTAAAGTATTTATTTAGAGTTAATTTAATTTAAAACAATAAAATTGAATTATTAAAAAATGAATGATAAAGGATTATATATTAGATTAAAAAATAAATTCTATATCATTTTCATTTATTTCCATTAACCGTATTAATGTAAATTTCGAATATTTATATATTAGTGCAATTCGATAAAGAAGGCTATTTCATGAAAATCATCGATCAATTTGATTAGATTACTTTTTTTTTGTCCGAAATTTAAGAATACTTTGTTGATTTTGTTGACAGCTTTCAATTTTGATACTTTTAATGATAAAGAATTCTTTTGGAAAAAATGCAAATATCGATTATGCAAATTTATATTCCTGTATCAAAGTTTTTTCAATCGCCAAAAGATACGGTGAAATTCCAATCAATATTTATTCAATACTTAATGGAAATCAATAACGGATATATAATCAATCCGTGTTATAATCAGTAAGAATAATGCCATTATTTCCCAAATAATTATCACATATTTTATTTGTATAATTAATATTTGCATTATCTTTAAATAATTATTATTCTTTGAAATGTTGAAATTGAAAGTTATCAAAAAATCAATAAAGTATTATTTAATTAGCATAAAAAAGATGTTTTGATATTTTATAATATAAAATAAAAAAATACGATTTCACTAAGGATGCTGCAGGAGATAATGTACGGTTAAAGTATTATAAACGTAGTTTTATCATTACCTTCGTATCACATGATAATTACTGCTAATTTTTATACTACTTATTAATTTTGTGGTAATAATTACAACTATATTATTATACGATTTCATATATTATTGTATTTTGATTAATATTACTAATTGATTAAAACCAATACTAATAATATTTGTGACAATAACAACAACACTGATAGTTTTAAGTTAACAATTACAATGAATTATATGATATTAATATAAATAGGAGTGATAACAAAAGAAAATATTGATAGTTGTGAATAATTGATTGGTATTCAAAGTAACTACACTAAATTATCAACAATTACTAATTAATAACTACAGTAAATTAAATCGCCAAATGAATTATTCTTATCATTTTTTGACATTTCCAAAGAAAAACAGTTTTTTTCAAAAATTACAAATATTAACTATTCATATCACCAAATGGTAACAAAGTATTTTTTTCTTATCACCAAATAAATATCGGAAAGGAAAAAAGAGAAAAATGGAAAGATAATGTTATTGATTCTTTCCTGAAATATAAATCACAAATAATATAATTCCGGATTGAAAGTACAAAAAAGACATAAATGCACTTAACTGTAAAATAATTCAATTGCTTAATCCTTCTAATATATGAAATGGATTTAATGCAAATATTGTTTATCAATGTATATCAGAAGTTATGATTTCATTTTTTGGTACTAAATATTACTTCTTTTGGTATTAAATATATATTAGTTCTATTTCTTTAACTTCATTACAGAATACTGAACGTATAATTTTATTGATATAAATAGACAAACTTGAATTTCACATTTCAGTTTGCCTGTTATTACAATTTTATGCAAAAATTAATTAATAATTTTTTTTTATCTTGAAGCAAATATAATTGAAATCACTTTGAACCGTCTTCGTATTCCATCTAATCAAAATTGATTATCGATTTATATTATAGTAATCATAATAATAATTAATAATAATAATTAATAATAATAAATAATAATAAAAATAATTATGGCAATAATATTAATAATAATAATAAAAGTAATTTATGTATTTCGGTCAGCTCCCTTTTTCTTTCCCATGTTATCCATTATTATTATCATTCTTATCAACACCCTCATCATTATCACCATCATCATCATCATCATCGATAATATTTTATGTGTGACAGATTTGATAATATTGCCATTAGAAGGGGTGAATCTTTGCGCGATAATCGTCGCCGATCAGTTTTTCTGTTATATGAAGCGTGAATCTCAATTAGGTATGAAGTCTTACAAAACCTTTCCTCCTCCTCATCTCATCAACATATTTAATGCATTAATGTTTATCACCACTACCATGAGAATTTGCATACCAATGAATTAAAATAAGTATTTATTGCTATAAATTATAGAATATGATTAAGTTGACAACAATTATAATAATAATGATTATTAATAGTCAATCATTTATAATAATAATTATTATTATGAGAACAAGAGATATATATACAAAAGATTTGATAAAAATGACTGTTATTACCGATCTTTTTATTTATTATTAGTTGTTTATTCATTTATTGACAGCCAATTATTATTATAATTGGAAATAGAAATAAATATTATTAACGAAAATAGAATTTTGCTTTATTTATTTACTTTATTTTTTGCTAGAGTTTTCATAAAATATATTAGGATTAGAAAATGTTTTATTGCTCTTTCACCTTTTTGCCAATTTGATATAAGCCATTTTTTTACACGTACGTTACATGCAGCACTTCTTAGAAAAAAAATATTACACGTAACATTTATTGGATAATCGAACATAATTTACTTTTGATATAAATATCACCGTTACTTAACAAGTTTTATTGCTCTTTCACCTTTTTGCCAATTTGATATAAGTCATTTTTCACACGTACGTTACATTTATCACTTCTTAGAAATAAAATATTACACGTAACACTTATTGTATAATAGAACACAATTTACTTATGATAGAAATATCAGCGTTATTTAACAAGTTTTATTACTCTTTCACTTTTTTGCCAATTTTGTTGTAAATCATTTTTTACACGTACGTTACGTATAGTACTTCCTAGAAAAAAATATTGCACGCGACATTTATTGTATAATCGAGCACTATTTACTTATGATATAAATATCATCGTTACCTTAACAATTCGCAAAATTATCATTTAGTAATTTCTTTTTTTGTTTTAATATAAAGGAAGCTAAAAGAGAAAGAAAGAGAAAAATGAGAAAGTAAGAGAAGAAAACAGAAAAATGAAGACAACAATAAACAAATAAATAAATAATTTCTATTCAAAAAAATTAAGTAAATTTTAAAATTTCAAAAGTTATAAATAAAAAAAAAAATTTTCTTTCGTAAACAACAAAAAAAATCCTTTGAAAATATTTTATAACGTAGTGTATAAATTTGTCTTTTGGCAAATTATAAAAAGTCAAACATCGATTATTGCCAGTTTTATTATGGAATTTGCGTTACCGTAAGCCAATCATTAAAATGGCTAATATTTTTAGGATTAAAATTTTCTTTCTTTTTTTTTTTTTTGTAAGAATAAAAATTCTTTCATATTCTCTCTCTCTCTTTCTCTCTCTCCCTCTCTCTTTCTCTCTTTTAACATTCTCATTTTTCTCTCTCTTTCTATTATAGTATTATTACAAATACATCAAATTTTACACAATCTATAAAACATTCTCAATTTTGAAGTATTGTTACTGACTGAAACGTAATGTTTACTAAGTTTTAATATATGTATGTATGTGTGTGTGTGTGTATTTGTGTATGTGTATGTGTGTGTGTATTTGTGTGTATATATGTGTATATGTATGTGTATGTGTGTGTATTTGTGTGTATGAATGTGTATGCGTGTGTATGTGTATATATGTATGTGTATGTGTGTGTATATTTGTATGTATGAATGTATATGTGTGTGTATGTATGTGTACGTATGTGTATATATGTGTATATGTATGTGTATGTGTGTGTATATATGTGTATATGTATATGTGTGTGTATATTTGTATGTATGTGTATGTACGTGTGTATTTGTATGTATGTATGTATGTGTATGTGTGTGTATATCTATGTATGTGTGTATACATTCGTATGTATGTGCATATTTCCGTATGTGTGTATATATGCGTGTATATGTGTGTGCATATGCGTGTGTGTATATTTGTGTGTACGTGTATGTGTGTATGTGTGTGTATATTTTTTATGTATATGTATGTATGCATATATGTGTGTATATTTATGTATGTGTATGTGTGGTGTGGATATATGTGTATGTGTATGTATGTATAAATATATGTGTGGTGTGTATATATGTGTATGTGTATGTGTATGTATGTATGTATAAATACGTATATATGTACGTGTATGTGTATGTGCGTGTACATGTGTGTACATGTGTGTGTATGTATGAATGTGTGTGTGTGTGTGTATGTGTGTGTGTGTGTATGTGCGTGTAGATGAGAATAATAAAAGAAGAATAGGCGGTGCAATAAAAATTGTAACCAATGAAATAATTGTAATGGATGGGATGGGACGAATAGATGAGCGAGAATAGGTAGGTGTAAAGGATTAGGATGACGGTAGTTTGACGAAGGAATTAAATGTTCAATGAGAGGATACTTTTATTCTCTAATCAAATTTTATAAAATTAAAAAAAAAGGCTTATTTTTCTTTTATCAATTAAATTCTTATTACTATTATTATTATTATTATCATTGAAATCATTGAAATCAACGGTTTCGTGGATGTTTCGTTGAATTGAAATTATTATGTCACTTCCTTATCAGCCGAATTATTATTATTATACTGCTGCTACTACCACCGTTCCACCAACATCAACACATTATCGCACATGTTTATCACAAATGCCTACAGCATCCAGGTTTCATCATTTCGTTTCATTTAATTAATATTAAAATTAATAATATTTAATCATTATATATAATCATTATTTCCTTTCTAATATATTTCATTATATTGGAAATAATCATTATAATCATTATTTTCTTTCTAATACACTTTATTGCATGGGAAATAATCATTATTATCATTATTTTCTTCCTAATATACTTTATTGTACAGGAAATAATCATTATAATCATTATTATCATTATTTTCTTTCTAATACACTTTATTGTGGAGGAAATAATCATTGTAATCATTATCTTCTTTCTAATACACTTTATTGTGGAGGAATTAATCATTGTAATCATTATCTTCTTTCTAATACACTTTATTGTAGAGGAAATAATTATATCAATGATGATTTTTAATCAATATTGTTTTATAACCATATATTCACACATAAACATAATATATATTCTTTATTTTACATTTATTCATTTAAATTATATTGATCATGATATATAATCACTGTTGTCATAATCATTATTTTCTTTCTAATGCACTTCATTATATAGGAAATAATCAATATGATCACGTGTAATCATTATTATCATTACATTTCTTTCTAATACACTTCATTGCATTGGAAATAATTATATTCATTAAGATTTTTAATCAATATTGTTTTCTAATTATATATACGCTCATAAACATAGTATATATATTTTTTTTCAGCGTTTATTCATTTAAATTATATTGATCATGATATATAATCATTATTGTTATAATAATTGATATAATTGTTTACACATATAAACATATTTTTTTAGATTTATTCATTTAAATTTCTTAAATCACGACAGATAATTCTTAATGTTATAATGAAGCATTTACATTTAATAATTATAATAATTAATTAATATAGTGTAAGGAATAATAATAGACAACCATTAGTGTTATAATGAAGCATTTACATTTAATAATTATATTAATTAGTTAATTTAGTATAAGGAATAATATTTTTTTATTTTTACTTTTTTGAAGTTTAATAAAAATAGAAAGAATGAATTTTTCTTCAGCGAATTCAATAATTTAATGCAAAATGTCAGGATGGAATAAATTTTCTTTTATGAAAAGTCTAAAAATTCTTATCAAATAAATTTAATTACAATAAAATTGCTTAAACAAAAGAAAATAGAAAAATTGGTCAAAAAAATTTTTGGTAATAGTAAATTTTATTTTTTAGTTTTATTGCTAACTTTTCCGTGGATCTGTTGATATCAAAGTGATGAATCTGTTGCTGATTCAACACTTTGATATCATCAACATTATTTATTGTTTTTTGTTTTTCAAAAAATTTCTCATTTTGATAACGTTGAAAAAATCGCCAACTGTTTACTTCGTGTTGGATTTTAAAAATTTTTTCCGTAATTGATATAATTACATCTCCTTTGTTTCAAAAAATATTGATCCCATTTTAATTTTATATTAATTATCCCGTGATAATTAAATAGATTAAAACTAATTTATGTATTGCATGCTCAACTTTTTGGTTTCTAGACTTCTAAGTTTCTAGGTTTCTTAGGCTTCTAGGCTAGATCATGAGACTTTTGATTGGCCTCTTGAAATCTAAAAATGCGTTCATTTTTCATTTGTTTTCTTTTCTCATATATTTTTTTTATCTTTCACATAAACAAACAAGATTATGTCTAAATTAATCATTAAATTAATAATATATAATATAATAAAGTAAAGTGTCGTGAAATATTATCATGAAAGAAGAAGAGGTATACGGTAGAACCACAAATTTATGTTAACAAAAGTCGATATTACAACAACGATGGATGATATAATGCAAAAGAAAATATTGAAGGAAAATTTTTGTTCAACATTTCTTTTTCCTGATAATATGTAAATGATTATGATAAGCTTCCTATTTAATGCGATGAAATTTATATTTAAAAAAATTTAACAAATATTTATGATGAAAATTTTAAATATTATCGTTTGTAAATTTATTGCTGTAAATTTAATTTTATGAACAAATTTTTAATGAATTTAAATATTGGCTAACTGTCATTAATATATTATCAACTGATAGCTAATATAAACTGAAATTCTATAGAAATAGAAATTTTTTATTAAATTAAAATGGTTGAAATTATCATATAGTTGAAGTTATCATGCATAATTTATAAATTTGTAATTAATAAATTATAATGAATCCTATTCATGAAACGGATTTTAGGTATATTTATTTATAAAATTTCAACAAATCTTAACGGTACACTTTATTTATTATCGTGACTTTAATTTTATAATCCAATTCAAGTGGTTTACAATGTTTACCAAATTTCCAGGAGTCTTCAAATTTAATGATAATTTAATTTCAAATGCTTATAATTTATTTATCAATGATAAAATTTTATTATCATCGCATGATAATAACTTTATTATCTTTTCTTCGTTTTTTTGCTTCATCTAAAACAATGAAAATTTAAGATTATTGAATTTAATTAAAAATTTAAATTAAAAATTTATTTCATTCTACATAATATATCAGGTATTGATAATTTGATAATGAAATTGATATATGCAATATTAATTATTCAAATATTTAATAATATTTCAACTATGAAATAAACATTTCGTCGAGCACAATATTTCATTTTCAGTTCAACGATATCAAACTTTTCAATTGAAAGTATTTTATCGAGGCGAGTACCAGTACCTCAATTACCATCTTTACCATTAGCAAATGATTTCACCGTTGCTGCTGCTACTGCTGCTACGGTTGCATGGCCTATCATACCATCACATTTCTCATATCCTCGTAAGTTTCCATTTTATACTATCATTTTCAATATCATTCATTAATTATTAAATATTCAAAAATTTATAACATTCATCTTTTTGATATCATTTCATTACGATGTACTCATTTACTTATATTTTAAACTTAAAAGATTATAAATGATAAGTGCAAGTTATAAGTAATATGTATGGCTTTTGAATAATTTGGATATGAAGAAGTTGACAGAAATAATTAAGAGAAGAAATTTTAATTAATTCTATAAAAGATTTATAACTTTTAATAATTAGTGTGCATCTAAATTTTCATTATCGAATAATTTCTGATATTAACACATTTACTCTAATTGTGTGTTAAAAATTATGCCACGTGAATTTACATTTATTAATTATAAATGAAATTATTTTACTTTATACATTGGTTAAATTAGCCTTCATTAATACAATCATAAATAAATAATTAAAATAATGAATGAAGAAGTAGAATATTTTGAAATTTAACATTTTAGATCCCGGTTTTCCGTATATCAATAACGGCTTTATCACATCATTTCATCCATTTCATTACGGTGGTAAACGAAAGCGACGTCATCGAACAATTTTTAGCGAAGAACAATTGCAAATTTTAGAAAATGCATTTCAAGGAACCCATTATCCGGATGTAATGTTACGTGAAAAACTTGCTGTGCAATGTGACCTAAAAGAAGAGCGAGTAGAGGTGAGATATTTCAGTTAATCCATTCTTTCTATCCATTTTAAAATTTATTTTCTAAATATATCGTATGATTATAACATTAGTTATAAACTTTAAAATTCCCATATAATTTCCTTCACCAATAAATTTGTAGTAACAAAGAAATTTCTGCAATTTTTTACTTCTTTTCTTTATACCTTTATCATACACATTTCTTTGCATTCTATTATTATAGTTTTAAATTTTATCAAAAAATAACATTTAGAATATTTTTATCCCAAAATAATTCTGTGAAATTATTTTATTGATTTTAAATAATTTTTGAGCAAATATTACAATTAAATTCCAAATTATTCCTATTGTTTTTTAAGTCCAAATTAATTAATAAGAAATAATTTTTTATACCTTTTTCTCATTGAATAAAAATTTGATATTATTACTAAATCATAAAAATAAATTTACCCAATTTTTCATTGTCAATTTTGCAATTAGTTCTGTTATGATAATGTATTCTTTCTCAAAATTACTACCATATGATTAAATATGAAATAAATATTTCCTTTCAGATATATTAGGCTATCTCTTTAACATAAATTAAATTAATTAATGATAGATAAATAAGAAAAATAAAGATTACAAGTTGAATTTTTATTTTGATAAGTAAGGATTTAATTCGTAATCTTACTGATAAAGAGATAGATAAAATAACGACTTCCTATCGATAAAGGCCCATAATAAAGAATGTCTTAAAGAATTTACAGTAAGATATGATAGTAATTGTAATCAAGATCTAGTGATGATTAATAAATTAAATAGATATTAATTTACTTCTTATTAAATGAAATATAGCAAATTGATTTACTATAATCTATAAATGTTTATATTTGAAAATTATTAAACTATATGTATATTATAATAAATAAGCAAATATTTCCAAATAAATGAATCTAAATAAAAATAAATTAAAGGAAGTTTATAAATTAATTAAATTAATAATACAAAGAATTAAATATATTAATTTATTTTATAGGTTTGGTTTAAGAATCGTCGTGCAAAAGATCGTAAGCAAAAACGTGAAAATGATACGAATGATAGTATAGGACGAAAGATAAGCGCATCTGATGAATCAGATTACGAAGTATCTGATGATGATGATGATTGTACTAAAATTAAGAAAAATCGTCAATCAACCAATAATGATTCAAGTAATCATAATGCTAATACTGATAATAAAGTAGTGGAAATCAGAAATGAACCTAAAAGTGTAATTTAGCCTTTTTTAATTATTCATTAAAAAAATTTCATAAAATGATTAAGAAATAAAAATTTTTCAAAATTAAGAATATGTTATTAAACAATAATGCACATATATATGATAAATTATCAATAGAGTTGATAAATTATCAATAGAATTGATAAGTTATCAACAGAATATAAAATTACAAAAAAAAAAAAATATTAAAATTTTGATTAAAATATATTTCACAAAAATATTCATTCGTATCTTTTAATGATATTTCAATTATTATCACTATAATTCATTGCTTGTTTCATATTGGTGCATATTTGTAGTTAGACGTGTATCTAAACCAAAACTTATTAAATTCATGTTTTGGTGGAATTGCATAATATTTTTGATATTGATAAAAATTTATCGGTGAATTTATAATTATTAAAATAATTTTAAAATCATTAATTACACATATATATGTTTTGCTTATTACTATTATTCTAAAATTTTGTTAATTAATTCGAAATTTAAATTTGAACTCTTTAATATTTTGAAATTTAAATTTGAACAGTCCCCTTTCCTCTTTTGTTTCATAAATTTTTTGCGTTCAAAATTGTTAAAAATTATAATTGTTATCATTTTAATCATAATTAACAAATTTTGGTGGTCAAAATTTAAATTTTATAGCAATTAGATTAATCATTCCAACTCAATGATATTAAATATTCAGCGGCTTATTCTTTCTTTTTGCTAATATTTTTTTTTATCACTTTTAGATAAGATAAGATAAGTAAACAAAATAATATTTATAAATGTTATTTACTTTAATATAACTTTCAATTTTCTTTCTTCCACCTTTATAAATTTTGCTTTTAAAATTGTTTGTTAAATGAAAATATGAAAACATATTGGATCGAAATTTTCGACAAATGAAATTACAACGGGTTTCACATTTTCTTTTACTGCACTCTTCTTCCTTTTTTGTTGAATTTTCAACGTGAAAAAATGATTCATTAAAACAAAATTAGTAATGCTAAGTTATAGAACGAACTGTTAAGAATTAATTTCATAGTTCATTTAATTTATCGTATTTATAATTTCCAGTTTTCTTCCATTTTCACATTTGCAATATACTACAGTAGGAAAGAGTATTAGAATTCAGCTATTTAAATTATCGAATTAAATTATTCATTACTTTCCCTAGTTCATAAGTTAGTTTAAAAAGTTAATTATTTACAAAAAACGACGAGAGAAAGAGAAGAGGAAGAGAAGAAGAGAGAGAGAGAGAAGGAGAAAGAGAAAGAATGAACGAAGAGAAAATGCGACTTTTGTAAAAATTGTTTATTCGTTAATATCGGCAATTATCATCATATCGACAAAAACTTTTCACCATTATTTTTCTTCGTCAAAAAAAAATATTTGCCAATTAATATTCATTAATTAAAAATTGTTAAAAAAATAAAAATACAAATTAATTAATTAGTTAATTGTTCCAATCAATTATAATATTAAATGACAGATTATTTTGGATAATTTCTTTTATTTCATTAGAAACTTATAATTTTCTTTAATTAGAATGCATAATAAATGCAACCTATGGGTATCATTTTTCTTTTTTAGCAAAACAAATTATATTTTGCCTAAAACGTATATTTAATATTGATTTACTCATGTAATTAAATTGTAATTCAATTGCTATATAAGTATTTACTTCATTTTACAGTATGCCAGATGTTATAATTTGATTATTGTTTTCTTTTAAATTCTTCTTTCTCTCTTTTCGTTTAAATTAATGAAATTAATGAAATGTTTTCTACTTTTTCATTTTGCTTTATTTTTATTGAAATAAATGATTTTATCAATAATTCAAATTGCATTATACAAAAGATAATTAAATTCGATTTTTAATTAATCATTTCAAATATGGTTATAAGTTAATAATACTGTTACCAGCTTCCCTTCTTACATTCCTATAAATTAAATATTCTATTTAATAATAAATATGATTAAAATAGGAAAAAATTAAATCAAATTCAATCAAAATTTAGCAATTTAGCATATTTACATATTTTAATTATTTACAGTGTGTATACGATATGTATACGATGTATACGATACCGTTATTGCAAATAGAATAATCATTTAGATGATTGAAATAATAACTTTGGAAATGTATAAATGCATATAATTAATTTAAAATAAACAATCATAATTGATATTTGACTTTGTATTATTAATTTAATTAAAATTATTAAGATATTATATTAATGAAATATTTTATCTGTAATATATTATTTTCTTCACTAAATTTTCATCATTGTAGAAAAGATGATACACTTTTCTTGAATAAATAAACAAACAGACAGACATGCACACACACATCCTTGCATGCATATTTTCTTCAATCATAATATCCTTTTATTTTAGACGAACAGTAGTTATACCATATGAAAATGCTAAATTAATAATACCATATACATAATTTTTACCTATGTTACTATCTGTTTTATTTCTCTCTTCTACAAACATTCAGTTATTCTTTCTTTCTTTTATATAATATTTAAAATTAACTAAAATTAGTTTATTTTCAAATTTTCGATTATTCATTTCTTATTTATGCGAATATTTTATTATATTAATTTAATTAATCCTAATTTTGTTTCAGTTTTTGTCCATTCTCATCCTTTTTTCTATCATTTTGTTTTTAATTTTTGCTATAAAATATTTTAAATATTTATTTGAAACAAATAAATTTAAAAATTAATTAAAGGAGTTTGAAACAAATAAATTAAAAAGTGCAAAAATTTTTGCATTAAATTTAACTTTTAAATAAAAAGGTATTTCTATTCAAAAATTTAATTTCTAGTTAATTAAAAGGAATTTTTTATCGATATTAAATAATCGATTAATTGCTGTGAAGAAATAAATAGTACCAAATAGTACCATATAGTACCATTGGTTATTATGTAGTAAATGGTACCTAATAGTACCATTGGTTATTGTGTAGTAAATAGTACCTAATAGTATCATAGGTTATTGTGTAATTAACCTTTTAAGCTTAATTTTGTTTTATTAATAATTTAAAATGATTTGGTACCAATTAATTCATTATCATTTAACATTTCGTGCATTTCAAAATTTGCAATAAAATGTATTTTAAAAGAAAAAGAAAATTTGAAGAAAAATTTCTTATAAAATTTCTTATAATTTTATTATTTTGAAATTATTTCTTACAAATGAAACTTAATTTGTTTGTTATTTAATTTGCTATTGTTTAAATTTAATTAAAACAAAAGATTATTGATTGGAAAAAAATTTTTTTCATTGAATAAAATTAAATTAACAAGAAAAAAAGGGAGAGAAGATGTCGGAAGATTACGGTACATCAATTCGTTTTTCATTAATCAATAAATTCTACAAGTAATAAAATTTAAGATACTGTAATTTGATTGTTTGTCACATAATCGGATTGTCTGATTCCAATCATTTTACCAACCTTTTCGAATGCGACACTTGAAATGTTTTGGTTCTGATGCTTATCCAATTGCCAGGTATTATCGATAAAGAAAACTTGTTTTATTTTTCAATTTATTCGCACCTCATTCAATACACCCTAAATTACTATCATTTTTACAATTTTAAAAAATTTTAAAAATTTTTAAATTTTCATAAATATCAATGACATATCAATAAATAATATAATTTCCTAATTATATTATTGAATATTTTAATTGAAATAATTTTGGAAAATTTTTTAATTTTACATTTATTCTTTTGTTTTAAAAAATATTTGAATAAAATATAATATTAGGAAAATTATTAATTAATATAATTTCACAATAATATATTTTAGTATTTCTTTTTCTAAAAATAATTTAGGCAAATTTTGAATTTTACATTTTTTCGTATCAAATGTTGGGAAAAAAAGAATTATTGAAATTTAAATGAAAATTTAAAATGATTCCAAAATTATTACAGTACTTTAAAATGAATAATTCAGTAAATAATTAGAAATATTTGATTCATAAATTAATTATTATATTGTTGTGCATTTATCAGATAATTATCAATAATCAATTAATAATATATGCATTATTGATTATGCGTGGATCAATAAAATAAATTTATATATTTATATGTTAGGAGGATTTCAAAAAGAAATGAATAAATTACTGTAACTAAAAATTTCGAATAATTGTATAATATTATCAATTGATTGTGATAAAAAAGGAAAAAAGCAATTGACATTTTTATCAATAATAATAGTAATAATAATAATTTTTATGATAATTAATTGAATGATTAGAATTGAATAAAACATTTTAATTATCATCATAATCATCAACTAAATGACTTTAATCATCATTCGTCATAATCATTATCTAAATGATTCTAATCATCATCAAAATGATTAACGATTAAAGGAATTTTAATGAGAGTGTATGCGGGAAAGAGGATAAAGCGTAATTCAATGTAAAATTACCATTCGATTATCTCTAAATTTATTTTTACAAATTGATAATATGGTTTGATTTGATCGGAAAGATACACACATCCACCTGAACATACACACACACACACACACACATATATATATATATACTATGTAGGAAACTCACCCATTTCATTCAGCTCTTTCCTTTTTATTATCCCATACAGTTTATGTGTAACCTTTTCCCTCTTCACCTCTGTCCTTAATTGAATTATTCATACCTCAATGAATTCATCAATTATTCACCCGATTCCTCGATCCTGCAACAAATCTTTACTACCACTCTTTCATATCTATACAACTACAACAAAAAGAAGAAATCATTCATTACCACCGTATCAAAAATGAAGCAACCTGAATTGCTAAAATAGAATGGCCAAAAATAAAGGGAAAAAAATATTTGACAGAAAAGTAAAAGAAATTTTATTTATAAAATTTTGTGTAATATGCACTATTAAAAATTGAAATTCTTATTCTTATAAATAATTAGTTATCAAAATAATTAAACATTTTTAAATAATTATTTTAATGATTTAATATTGAATACCTG